GACGCCAAGCATGAGGCTGTAGAAAGCATCCTGTATATTATCCCTTGTAATAAAGGAGATTTTTCATATAATTATAGAATCACAGAATGTCTAATGACCTTAAAGATCATCTAGCTCCAATTCCCTGCCATAGCAGGACTGCCATCCCTCAACTCAGGCTGTCCAGGATCCCATCCATGGCTTTGGGCACCTCCAGGGATGGGGCACCCACGGCTCTGGGCAGCAGTGCCAGGGCCTCACTGCCCTCTAAGTAAAGAATTTCTTACCTAACATCTAAGACAAATCTCCCTCTTTTAATTTAAAGCCACTCCCCTTTGTTCTATCGCTATCAGACTATGTAATAAGTCAGTCCCTCTCCTGCCTTCAGGTTCTGGAAAGCCTCAACGAGGACTCCTCCTCTTTTCCAAGCTAAATTTTCTGGGGTTGTGACACCCCCTGAGAAGTCAACAAAAACATAGCTGGAGCAGATGCTAAGCCAAAGCATCCCTTAAGGCCAGGACTGAGTCCCGCAGCCCCAGGTACTGCACTGTACCCTGCTGGGGGGAACATTACCAGCAAAAGGACACAAGTGAGACCATGTAGAGAACTTGGTGGTGAAACTCAAAATTTAATCAAACCTGAAATCTCTACCAAGGGCTTCTGTCATATTTGCAGCAAGCTTGATTTGGTTTTCTATTACATATTCATATGCTTCCATTCAGAACAACCTTGTTTCATTACAGTGGATTCAGCTGTGCTTTGCAGTCCTGCTCCACTTCTTCCAAGGCAAATTCTTTAGGAGATTAACCTGACACATTTATTCCCCTGATGATATATCCCGTCCTCTCTAATATCGTTACCAATTTCAAGTACACAGCAATAAATGGGCATAAAATTTTTAAAAAGTAGTGACTTGAAAGCTTTTTTGTTCCCACATTTTCTTGGAACAACACATTTCACTTTGCAAGCAAGATTCAGCTCAAGCAAATACAAAATAAATTATTTAGCTTTCAACCAAAAGCTCGCAGACACTGTTCTTAGTGGACTTGAAGCTCACACTGGAGTTTAGGTTTTAAGTAGCTCAAAGTGGCAATTGCTCTTCACTGGGAGTTCAACACATTCGTCTTCTGTGACACCTGTTTCATATGCACAGAAGACATTACTGAAGATAAAATGTGCAACTGGTAATTGAAATTAAAGTTGCAATCTCTATTACAGTAATATCCACTGTGCCACATCTCTGTAACACACAATGAAACAGCTTTTGCTTCTGAAGCAGCAACCATGGTACCCACCAGAACCACAAAAAACCCTAACCCGATGCACTGAGAAATGCAGTGAAATATATTCACAAAAAATAAACTTTCCTAAAATTGCTTACATTGTTTTTACTATTTTTACACCCTCTTGACAGATACGTTAAGTACAACTCCAGTATACTTAGGGAGAATGTGTCTACAAAAAACCATGTCTTTTTCTAATACTCTGAAAGAGTATTCAGTTTTTCACACACAGGGTGGTGAGGCACTGGAACAGGTTGCCCAAGGAGGCTGTGGATGCCCCATCCCTGGAGGCATTCAAGGCCAGGCTGGATGTGGCTCTGGGCAGCCTGGTCTGCTGGTTGGCGACCCTGCACATAGCAGGGGGTTGAAACGAGATGATCATTGTGGTCCTTTTCAACCCAGGCCATTCTGTGATTCTATGATTCTATTCACAGTAAAGAAAACTGTTCAAAAATCCAGTTTGCTTTTGAAAATACTGGTGAATATGGACATGCTCATCTAAAAAGGGTGGACTCTGCACTATCCATGGAGTTAATACTTTCAATGTACCTTCCTGAGAAAATTTCAGAAAAAATTCCAAGATTTCAAAATTGGGAATTTTGAAGAAATAGTGTTGAGATGAACGATATGTTCTTTGGCTCCAAGTAACTATTAAGTTAATGCTGATTATAATAGCTCTGATGTGACTGAAAGACTACCCACAGGCACATGCTCCCTGAGGATGGTTAGCATTCCAACTCTTCATAAATTTCTTGCAAATCAACAACTTTTCACAAGATTTAACAGACCAGCACAGCTAACTACTATTTTACATCATATTAGAAAACAAAGACACTGTACCACGTCTGGCTGTGGCAACCACATCTTCAAATGAAGATCTGAAGTCCTCTTCCCAGAAATACAAGTGCAGCATATTTTACAGCAAGAGACAATTTGAAAAATGGAGATAAACCTCCTGCTTCCAAGGTGCTACCTATTGGATTGGAAGATGGTTTCTGAGACATGTGACAAAGTCAGCTGTGTTTATAGGACCTCTGCTTGTGCATGGAAAGCAATCAAATCTACTTTCTTAATCTAATACCTTTACTGGAGTAGTGCTTTAATCACCAAGAAGCAGTATGCCTTTCCTAGCCCTAATTGGGATCAGGACTAAATCAGCTGCTCTTTAAACCCTGACTACATCTCACACAAACTAAAGGATTGCATCAGAGCACAGTTATGCAAGGTGCTGCTGCAGTCACATAGAGCTTGCTAAATATTTCAGACATATAAAGCTGAATAGGCTGGACTGTAAATCACTACAAACCAAAACAGTTAGCAAGAACTCCACAAATGCCTCCTGGATAACGCTACATTATGTGCTCCATTCATTTTCTAATGAGCAATGTTCCAGGTTTTTATTATTATTAATTGCATATAAATTGCCATTATTTTTGTATCACTGGGAAACTATTTAGCCATTCACCTCTCAGAGGAACAATGCTGAACAAAGGAAATGAATGCATGGCATATTAGAACAATGCAAAACACAAAAATTTATGCATGCCATTTAAAAGACATGGCATTCAGACTACTAGCAAAAAAATCAAAATTATGTCATAAATCTTTAACGGTAAGAAATAAAAAAAAACGAATGGTTTCCAAGTCCTTGATTTTATTTAATCAGGAATGTTGCCTACTTCTGGAGTGCAAAATCTTAACCACGTATCACCAACCTTCTCTGAAGTGCTCTGCTGCAAAATTCATTGTATCTAAGATCTGCTAATCATCATCAGGAAACTGTTATGCATCTTAAGGACGTACTTTAGGCTCTCAAGAGGAAAAATAAACACATTTTATTAGCTGCTTTTGGAAAATACTGATTTGTGTATTTATTTAGAAACCTTTTCAAGTTGCACCACTGTTAAATTAAATATTTATGGCATGATTTTCCAAAGAGTTTAACACCTGTTAAGATGCTAAGGGTTTAACCTGCTGGCTTCAACAGGAGCTCCAAGTGCCCAATGCTGTTGAAAAGCAGGCCTCAGAGGGACACAGAATGGATGTGCTCAAGCAGCTTGGGTGTTCATGTTACTGCTAAGTCCTGAAAAGCAATGGGTCTCTCACAAGCCCATACTGCCCATCACAGCATTCCATTTCTGATAACTGCATCAGAGCTGTGCTTCACTAAAAATTACAGAAATATGACTCACTATACCTGTTAAATAAAAAAAAAAAACATATGTCAATGCTGTGAGATAATCCTGAATGCATCTTCACTTTCCTTCTATTAGAAAATATGTGTTTTAAGTCATTAAACATGACCTGAAGTAGCAACTTACATAGGAAACTAAAATCCTCAGTGAGTAATGAATTCAAAAGCTGTTGATATTAGAGAGGTGAGAAGCTGAATGAGGACAAAGCCATTTTGATAAAATACAGCATAAAGAAGGAAGAGCAGAAAAATAAAAGACGTTTGTCACATTGCAAAAATCTGTCTGTCACTGTATCCTAGTGACAGTGAGGCTAGACACAATTTTGCCTGAGAATCTAAAAGCATTGACCAAAGCCAATGTAATTGGCCAAGTGCAAACCAGGTCATAAAATGGGTTTGTGTATAGCCATGTCCATACCAGCCCATCCAGCTTCACCTCCACAGGTATGCTACATCCCCACTCCTTTACTGATAGATGAATTCTCACACCTTGTGGTTGCCTTTCTCTCCACAAAGCTGCTTCACTTAGGAAGGGAAAATATCACATCTGAAGCACCTCCAGCTGCAGCTCCTTCTTGATTTTCACTTCAGACAACCCCAAGCCCCCTCCCATGAGCCCTGCCCACCTCAGTGCTGCTGCAGGCAGTGCCATCACTGACCCCAGCTCTCCTCTGCTCCCTCCATCCCTCCCCTGCCCTTCACCCTCCACACAACAGTATGAAGACACCATCTAGCATTTCTGTACTAAATGTCTGAATTTCCTGGTGGTGTAGAGCGCGGAAGCAAAAAAACATCATCTTTTAGGCAGTAAATAAATATCTAACAACTAAATAAGAAATTACTATAGAGAGATCATCCAAATGATCATCCAACACGATTTCATGAACTGCAGGCTAATAAAACAGTTGAATATTGCAGATAGGACACATCAATCTCCTTCTACACATTACAGCACACCACAAATCTGCCCAGCAAGTCTGACTATTTTGCACATTAAAATAGTAGCTTTCATCACACTATAAAACATTTGCAAATGCAGACCAGAAAACCAACAAGCATATTTACTGTAAAGCTTTATATTTGTGTCACCAATTAACAACAAAAGTTTGGAATAAAACTAAAATAAAAGCTAATCAAAACAGCTAGCTGTCATAACAGATGGGAACTGTATTTTTCAAATGAAGCAAAAAGCCAAAGCTTTTGAGCATTTAGTGTCATGTCAGCAGATACAGACAACCCAGAAAGGGAGGACACCAAATGTCAGGATATATGAAGAAAAGCTGTTTGTGGCCCAAAGATTGATGTTTATGAATTTCTATTGATTTTTTTTTTTCTTCTCCACAATGATTAACTCACACCAAAACAGACCTTTGATATGCGAACTATAAATAAGTTTCCACTGTGACATTGCAGGCAAAATAAATAAAAACAAGACCCCAGCATTATTTTAGCCTCAGACGAATGTTTCAGTACCTACATTGTCTGGCTCAGAAAGATACATAGACAGTCTCACAGACAGAGATAGAAATGAACAATTGCAGTACCTTTTTCCCACACTGTTTACAGGGCTGGCTATATTCCTACTGGCAATAGATTTTCTTCTTGACAGCTTCTTGGTGTTGGTGCTGTCATCAGTGCTGTCATCCTCTTTCTTTGGTGTGTTACTTCCTTTGCTGTTCAGGTCCCTTAGCACATTATAATTAATTTTACTTGAGATTTTCTTCTGTTCTAACATCTTTTCAATTGCCTCTCCTGCTGTGCTGGCTTGAATTGGCTCCCGCTTCTTTGCAGCTTTCTTTGGCTTAATTAAAATATAAAATTAGTGATGTAGAGACAAACAAAATGGTTGTGCAGCAGAAGGGCGACCTGTGGCTCAGCAGTGCCTGCACAGTGCTGGTGACTCAGGGACAGGATGGGCGATGGGGCCGAGCCAGGTCAGCACTCTCTGGCCTGGGGCTGAGCAAGACTAAGGCTAAGGGAATTTTCTTTCTACAAGAATTCAGTGTAGGCTTTTCCATTTTTGCCAAATGCCCACGCAGTTTATGACAAATTCTTTACTGCACATTTGTACCACTGCCAGAAAAGAAACGTGGGCCATTTCTTACGTGCGAAAAAAATGGAGAGAGCTCCCGTTACAGGAATAGGGACCTTGATAACATCACCCAGCATGTAAATAAATTCCTCTGTTAAAACTACCTTCCAAGTGAGAGTCAAGCTGGGGCACTTCCCTAGGCACTGACAACAGCATTTCATATGAAGTCCGAAAGCTGCACATCCAACTCTTCCTCAAAATAGAAAAAAGTCAAGAAAATTAGCAGCAGCTTTCTAAGCAATAATGCTGTTGGAGAGGAAGCAGGGTGCTGCAGCAACATCACCTGCCCGCAGAGAGAGGCAACCTCCCTCGGCCAAGCACTGCAAGCCCAGCGCTAACACTGCGCGGCAGTTTGATGCTGCACAGACCCAGACAAAGAGAAATGACACCAGGGAACACTTCTATCTGGGACCGGTGCCTGGCTAGGTACAAAAAAAAAGAGATCTTCTGTTTCTCATTCAGCCCTTTCCTTTTCAAAGGAAAGTTTTAACACCAAGGCTCCGCAGGAGATTTATTTTTTAATGTATAATAGCCCCTCTGTTTACCTACATGGGTCAAGTGCTACCTTGAAATTGGAAAGCACTATATTAATCAAGTTCTACTCGAGCTGTCAGAAACAATACAGCTAGAGAAAAACTCCTGTGTTGTCAGAACAAAAAGGTGGGTTGTTTGGGCTGCTTCTCAGTGCCAGAGAGTTATACAATTTTGAAAATTGCTGGTAGAATTCCACGGCCCTGGAAGGGCGGGATGAATGAGAAACTCTGAAGCATAAAACAGTGTTTCATTGTCTGGTTTTGTTTTTACTATTGAAATACCTACGGGAAGTAGGAAACTCTGTCTTTCACATTAGCCAGAAAAGAAAGATACAAGATACACACATTAAAAACGAACACGGATTTGAGTTGCATGTGGAAGATTTGACTTGTCACTTGCTCAATTACACAAAACACTAACTCTGTAAATTGTGAATATATGGCCAATTAGGTTGCTTTAAACTGCTAAACACGGAGGACGAGCCATTTGTTAACATAACCCTCGCCTTCTTTATGAAAGGTACAACTAAATACTTCTTTACGTGGGTATAACAAAGACCTCTTCAGTTGTCCATAAAGAAATCATTATAGCAAGAGCAGAGGAAGCTGCTACAGTTAGGGCAAGTACAAACAAATTCCCCATGCACGCGTTAAAAAAGGCATGTCCTAAGAACTGTATTTAAATAAGTGAGCAATTAGGGCTGCAATCCTAAATGCAAGAAATAGCTCTGACTTTGCCATGCACTGAATTTTTTCCTGATAGTAGCTCAGAATAGACATTTGGGCAAGAAAGTGTTTTATTCATTACCTGAGAAATTATAATGTTCCATTTATGTAATGCATAGAAATATACTGGGTTTGGCTTGTTTAGTGGTGACCCATCCCTTTACCCCCCACATCCTACGCAGGGTGATCAACAGATACAAAGAATTTCCAAGACATTTTCAAACAGACACAATTAGCACACAGTTTGATACCTTGTGTTCCTTATAAATCCCAAGTTCTTTCTCTTTTGCTATTCTTGCTTCCTTTTCTGAAAGATGACAAAAGGGTAACCAGCATGAAGATTACACAGACTGCATATTTCAGCAACCCTGGCCAAAAGAAGAATTTCAGTCCTATCCACTTACCTTTTTGTTCCTTCAAATAATCTGCATTTTCTTTCATCCACAGCTCTGCTTTTATCTGAGCTTCTGTTTCGTTAAGTATATACTAAAAGACAAAACAAGTTCATCTGCTTTCAGAAATTGTCTTAAAAATCATAGTGCAAAACTGAACTGAAAAACCACTAACAAGGTCAATTCATATTTTATTAAAAAAAAAAAAAAGTATAAAAGAAAACATGACCAAGATGCAACAATCAGAGCATTTCTAGCAAATTCTAAAGCTGGAAAAACAACGACCTGCTTTCAAAACATAGTGCTGGGTTTCCAAATTGCAGTGGGGTGGTCAACAGTCATCCAGGACTCATTGTACATGATCGTAATACTTGATCCATAATTAATCTAGAATGATCTTGTTTTTATGATCTTTTTCAGATGATGTAACAGAGTATCATGACAACATGGCAGTCTGCAAGCAATTCTGAGAGGTGATGGTGGTCTGTAATTCAAAACAGTATGGGAACCACTGCCTTGCGCTACCAAAACAGAAACATGTGTCTTCTAGGTAGGTTTCTGGGAAGGTTTAGGCACAAAATTATTATGGTCTGCATGAATGAGAGCAGCTTAGTTTGTTGGAGGTTCAGTTCTCTAGACTTCAGAGAGCTGGGTGCAGTGCAGTACACACATCTAAACTTCCTGCAGTTAACCCTGCTAAATCGCAGCAACATTGTTAGTAAGCTTGGAGCTGTAAAGCAACTAGAACTATTCAAACAAATCACAGAAATAAACAAATAGGTGGGTAGGCAGGCAACAAGCAGGCTGGCAGGTTGCTAGATAGATCTCCCCTTCAATTTCTCACATACAAATATAAGCCCAGTATTTAGCACAGCTGTCTGCAAAGCAAAGGTTCTGTATGGCACATGCTGTCTGGCAATGAAGAACTTCTGCAGAATGGAGAAGACAAACCGGATAATCTTTCATAAAGAAGACAATTTCCTTGTAAGCAATGGACCCCAAACTTGTAAAACAATGTTTAAGTGCTAGAAAAACAATCTGAGTTTTCTCCATCTTACAGGATTTAGTAGTCCAGACTTTCTCTGAAGTAAAATGTAGACAGAAGAATTTTATGAGAAAAGTAACTCCAGGCAAATGAAACTAATGTAGGGAGGAGTCCTTCCTTGGAGGGCAAATGGAGCGAGCAAGCAGCTGCATAGGTGCTGGTTTATCAGGCCACTATTTCACTATTTCATCTGTTTCTATTAAAGGTGGTCATAATAGTAAAACTCTTCCTCATAGCTCAGTTATTCGTCTTTCTTATGCTTTTAGAGAGTTCATAATCTTGGGCTTACAATATTACAGTCTATTGCCATGGAAATGAACATGAGGTCATAAAAGCAGAGTTATGACCTCACTACGGGCTACAAAGTGGAGAAAAAGTGCTTTTTTCTTTCTCTGTTTTTGTTTTAAAAGACTGATCTGCTCTATCGAAGCCCTTCAGAATCAGCTCTGGGAGCTTTCGGGTTACCAGCCTCCCTGCCCCCCATTTTCACCATGCTCTTCCTCAACCCAGCTCAGCTGACAGCAGGCCGAGCATTTGCCTACCTCTCCATTCCTCACCAAGAATATTCTGCAGATCAAGCCTGATTCTCAGCAATCTCTATGAAACCCTTCTGTTTTCGGTGACTCTATACCCCAAAAGGAGTTTCTAGTATCAGTGTCATCCATTCAAATTGCACTTTTCATTTCCAGCTCAACATGGCAGCTGAAGAGGACGTCAGGCCCTGATGGGAGGACTCATACAGCAACCTTTAACAGGCCATTTCCACAGCTGTCTTTTATACTCAGGCTGTTATGGCAAGGGTACCTTGTGCTGCCACACAAATAATAATAAATCCAGAAGATGCTATGGGTATCTTTTTAAGCACACAGAAGCTGTACATGCTGCTTCTACAGCCTGGTTTCCATGGCAGCCTCATAAGATGAATATGTTGTAATTAAACAATGATTTTAGAGATCCACCAAACTTTTAAAAGTTCTTCTAAGAATAAAAGGTATTCTAAAACCTAACTACACCAGCACAGTAAGAAAGCAGCAGCAGCAGTCCCATACATACATAAAATCAGCACTAAATTCACAGGCTTGCATGAATATTAGCTCTGACCCCAGATCACTGAAATCACTTGAACCTCTCTATAGATCAGAGGCAAGCACTGCCAGAGTGAAGAGGCAGAGATGGAGAGAATACACCAGATAAGAACCATTTTTTTCTTTCTCAGATATCCAAACGCAGAGAGACTTGGGATAAAAGCATATCTTACCCTATCTATTTCACTGTCGTCAATTCCACTGAGATCTAATTCACCATCTCCTGTATTTTCACCTACATAAAAGAACACATTTAATTAGCTAGACGTTTCTTCAAAATCAATTGCAATTCAAGTCCTACGGTAAAGTAACACTTTGCCTTTCCTTCTGCACTCATCGCAGTGAGGTTTAAGAAATTGTTGAGTATTTTTGATTCGAGGGTATCCACACCAACATGCACCACATAGAACTAATTTATAATTCAGGAATCAGTATGGTTCTCTTTAGGACCAAAAATCTACCATACATTTCCAAGCGTCCTTTTTTTCTTTCTTTTTTAATTTATAGCCACATGTTTTCACCATGAACCTGGAGAAACCATTTCAGATGACACCATTTTTCATTCACCATAACATGGATTTCTCCACCAGAGCCTACATCCTGGTGATTTATCTGTAAATTACGGCTTAGAAAATATTTTCTGTTTACAAGGAAGCAGCACAAACCAGTGAATAATACATCACACTGACAGTCATACCGTGGCTCTATTCTTAATTCTGATTTACAGTCATTCGAATCATCTAACTCATATCAGCTCTGTAAGAATATTGTAAAATTTTCTTTTTTTTTCAAAAATGGGAATTATTAAAACATTTCCAAATCTTAAAATAACTTGAAAGCTATGGAAGGGTCTAAATGAATATGCAGCAATAATGACTTTCTGTAATTACAACATCACTGTCGTTTTTATAGCTACATATTTACTAAGACTTCTCCCGAAAACTAGAGTTTTTAAGATTCATTCTATTCATTAAAAGTCATAACAGCAAAGAACTAAGATCTAATATGGGACCAGCACAACTTACAGCAGCAAAATTGATTTTCCACATCATGTTAAAGTACAGTAATAATATACCATTAATATTGTCCAGGTAGAGAAGAAAATACATTATTCAACAGAGACTTATTCTGGGAAATGAAGAAAACCCCTTGGTCATCTCCATTTTATCTAATCAAGAGTGGACAACAGACGACCCAAGCTGATGATGTGCAGGAAAAATAAATAAAGTTTCTGCAATCTGCAACACCAGGAAATTGTATGGAACGCCTTGGTAACTTCGGGGACATGGTTCCCCATTCCTGAGCACGTGCCCCTCAGCTTCCTAAGGCTGCTGAATGTTTCAGTTGCCTGGGCTGCTGGTTCTTTGCAGAGCAGAGAGCGGGGCCTTGAGAGGCATCAGATGGAGCCAACAAGCAAAGGCCGGAATTCAGAGCATTCTCGGGAGATACAAGTGATCCTCAGCTTGGCAGAACCCAGGCATAAAGCAGTTCCTGAAGTACGTAAAACCATAGGGCTGGAATCCAACCCAAACTTCTGTGTAGGAATGAGGGCTGAGCTCTTTGAGGAGGTGCACAGGATCGGGCTGCTCAGCCCTACAGACATTACTGGTATCAGACACAGAGCACTTACAGTTTGCTTTTCAAAATTCAACTTAATCAACAGAAAGTTTTTAATTTTTTCCACGCCAAATCATACACGGAATGAGTCTCAACCCAAAGAAAATGTCCTGTCACAAGGAATCACCCAACACTTTGCTTTGATTTTCTTCTGAGATTGGTTCATAAATACAGTATCAACTTTACCAATTTGGATAATCTGATGCAAATATGACTGAAAAAGCCTTCAGGAACGTATCTCACTGATATTATATTTAGAAATTAACTGTACTTTAGAGTCCCAGGGTGTGTAAGTTTTGCTTTATGACTTATAACTATTAACTATGCAATTGTTCAGTACATATGCTTATCTCCTGCTCTTATCTCTACACTAAAGTGCATACCTTGCCCTGGGGCCTCCAGCTCCTCATGCAAGCACTCACTACCAACACACAGAGATGTGACCCAAGGATGCATGGCTGGATCTTCTCTGAAAGAGTGGTGAGGCAGTGGCACAGCTGCCCAGGGAGTGGTGGAGTCACCATCCCTGGAGGTGTTCAAGAACCGTGGAGATGTGGCACTGAGGGACGTGGGCAGTGGACATGGTGGGGGAAGGTTGGACTTGGACTAGATGACCTTAGTGGTCCTTTCCAGTCTACATGGTTCATAGAATCATAGAATCGCAAGGTTGGAAATGACCTGCAAGATCATCTAGTCCAACCATCCTCCCATTACCATTGCTACCACAAGCACTAAATCATATCTTGTAGCTCCTCATCCAGACGCCTCTTAAACACTGCCAGGGACTCCTCCAGCTCCCTGGGCGGGCCATTCCAGTGCCTGACCACTCGTTGAGAAAAAAAGTTCTTCCTTATGTCTAACCTAAACCTCCTCTGGTACAACTTGCGGCCATAAGTAGATAACAGAACTCGGTTCTTTGACTGTATGAAAGCATGCCTTCATATGAGGTTGGAAAGGAAAATCAAAGTGAGAAAATACATCCAAGTGGTTTGTTACCTCTTTAAAATACCTTTAATACAACTGACTGGAATTTTTTAGCAAGCCGTAATCATGCAAAGCACAAAGAGGAATGGTTGTGTGCTGCATCCCCAACGGGAGGCCGGGGCATCCTGCCGAGCACCACTGCCAGTCCCTCCTGCTGGAACTGATACGTGAATTTCCAGTGAGTGAAATGCTTAAATAATCACTGAGACGAGGAGTGAACTCTGTAGTCTACTGTCTGAGACGCCTTCCCAAGAGACTGCACACCTGGCTCTGAGAAAGGTTTCATTACTTACACAAAATAAAATAACTCGAGAGCAGAAAGCAGGAGTGTGCCTGAGGCTGAGTCATCCATCTTGGGTTAAGGAGTCTGTGCAGAACCGGGCCTCGAACTGGGCCTCCTGTGCTCCGAGTAGGTGCTGCAGGCACTAAGCTGTAGGACAGAAGGATGGGGTTTTCCTTCTCTTTGTTTCACCAGCCCCTTTTATCTTCAAGATTTTGGGGAAAAAAATAAACTAAAATATTGTCTACTTATACATTAGGGCCAAAATGAAATAGGAACCAAACTAAAAGATCACTCACTGCTAAGGTCTGTACATCATCACAGGCTAGGAAACCAAAATCTGGCAGTGGTGTCTGAGAACTGCTCTGGACTCAAGTCACAGCTCAACTTGACATAAAATTCTCTGCATCCCCAAAATATTTGCTGCTAAAACTGTCACAGCGTTTTAGGAACAATAAAAATATCCCACCAAAATCAACTGCCGCTGCTTTTATTTGTCATTAAACACCTTGCTTCCCCTATATTCTGCAATATTTTTGGATCAGAGGTTTAAAATTTAATATGGCACAGTACAGTAGATGTCTGTTTCCTTATACAGCCCTACTATGCCAGACTGAAAATGATGTAATTTCAGGCACCATGAACAATTTCACGTGTCATTTTAAATATAACTTGTTACTGAATTAGGTGCCAGTTCTTCTCATTGGATCAATTAGCACCAGGGACAGAAAACTCATTCTCCAACTGGTAAACTGCAGAGAAAAATTCAGAAGCAAGTTGTATATAATAAGCATTTCTTAGACCCCATAACAGCAGTAGAGGGAGTAATTGTAGCATATCCACTCTGCCTGCAAGTAGCCCTTTCTTCTGCCTATGTGATAGGCATTCACTAACTGCAAGGGGTTTTTCAGATGAGAAGGAGCCTTCAATTCTCTAGTTTAACACTTCCACTGGAAAAAAAAAAAAAAGTGTTTTGTTACACAACGCCGATTCAAAGAATAATACATCCACTCTGATCTGAGAATTTCCATGGCAGTCATGAGCACACCCTACCAGCCATCATCATTCATCTCCTCGCTCCGGGGCACTGAAAGTATACCCCTTTACTTTTATTATACCAGAAAGATCTTCCCAGCTGCTAAACTTTTTGAAACAATTTCCAAATGATAATTTTCCCCTTTAATAAAAGGGTTGAAATGAAATTTTCAACGAAATGAAAACACAGATGTGGCCAACATCTGGTCCAACCTCTTAAAAGCTTATTTAAAAGCAGCAGTGCCATGTGACACGGCTCTTAGCAGGGATTTCTTCTGTTAAGAAAAACAACCCGCTCTGCTGCAGGGCACAGACAAAAAATAAGTTCTGTGTTCAAAAAAAAAGCAAAACCAAAAAATGCCATGTTTAAATGAAACTACTGTTGGGCAGAAGGGACAGAGAGCCAAAGGAGAAATGGGGCAGCCGGGTCCTTCCTCACTGCATTTCTCACTGCAAGCAGAGGAAGAGGAGCTCCCAGAGCTTTCAATCAATGTCCCGGTCAGCCACATCCATGTAACTCACTGTTGCCAGTCAGACAGCCGTCTCCCTGCATATTTAAAAATAAAAAACAAAAAAGCCCTTTCTTTGCAGCCTCTTAACATCTTTGCCAGCGGACTCTAACAGACATGAGAGCTACAAACAGACATTCGGGATTAGGTTTGTAAACCTGCAGGATTATTTACTGTTCTTGTCATTACTAAATGCATACTAAGCCCTCTTTTAGCACTGTCTCCCCCTCTCTGTGTATCTAGTTAAATGTATACATAGCACGCTATTACGGGGATTTATTACAGAAGAATAATTCCTGCCGATATACTTTAAAAACCTGCATTTTTGATGACAGACATTTGAAGAATGTGTTTTTCTGTTTCTCGCACAGGAGGCAGAACTATTTATTGCGCTGCCCAGATAAGAGGATTTCCTTACAGACAGCAGCGAAGGCTGAACACTTCCCAGGAAATCCTCTGAAGCTCATGTAATAGCAGGCGCTCGGCCCTCCTGTCCCATGCAGCACCCGCATCTCTGCCACACGACTGCACAGCAGTGCCAGAGCTGGGGCTGCAACAGAGCCCCAATGCAAAGCACGCCACAAATGAAAATCGAAATATAAGGACACAGTAAAATTAATTGCTCTTAGTGGCAAAATAAGTGTCACAAAAAATGTATGGCTTGTATTTTCATGGTTAGGTAAAAACGAGGGCTTTCTTTTATTGTACCTGAGGCCACCTTGAAAATTACAGCCTACTCCTTCACAGTGCCAATTCTACATTGCAATTTCGGTCTAAAGGACTACGGAGCACACGAGGCCATGCATACAG